GCACTGCTTACGCTTTTGAGCATTTTCACCGCCGGATTTTGCAGCAGTGAGGAGGAAGTTGAAGTCACTCCATCCCAATCTCACCGATTTTAAATGCATCCATTCAGCTGCTGACACTTTACAGTGATTTGTGCCACCGAATCCTCCTTTACCCAGTGTGATTTCTAGGTGAAGTGGTGCCTGAATTACTCGTTTTTTGTGCAGTGGCTTCACTGTCCAACACCAGCACTTGCCTTATCTGCACTGCTTACTGTTGTCAGGCGAGGGGAAGCAAAAGGGACGTCGTTCTTGGGTGCCCTAAAAAACAAGTCTCTCTTGTCACATTCACGATGGCAGCTGACATTGTCGTGTCTGTAAAGCACGCAGCTCAAATGAAGAAATGCCCACATTGGCATCTATGCTAAATAAAGGAAAATTTTATTCAGACAGTCTGCTCTGGCTATCCTTAACCATCTTCTCCTTCCTTTGCTTAATTTTCTGTACTTCCAGCCGGATGGAAGGTCTCGTTTCGAGATGGGTTCCTACGTGAAGGCGACCTTCATGGGTAATGACTTACGCACTGCGGACCCCATCTTCTCGGTCACTGAGGAGAAGGTCTTCAAACCCGAGCATGGTGATATTGTTCCACCAAATAATCAACCAGTGGATGGACAGCGGTAAATGCACTGCCTTCCGTGATTCTACAGCAACTCTTCTCGTCATTCAAACGTCCATTGGTGACCTACTAACATTTTATCACCATCGACAGTTTAATATACTTCAACGTATTTAACTATCACAAGTACTGACAAATTGAAGCCTAACAAGTGGTAGTGCTGCTTTCAAATGGGTCAGATTTTTCAATGACAGTTCTAAAATTTCAAGGGGTAGACATAAGCAGCGTTCTCCATTGGCGGCGGTGTACCAGTGACCCACTGATCTTTTCCCTTAAACGAAGGTGATTGAAGAAGGGAGTGGAGATTGAGGTGCTACTTAGATGGACTGGAGAACAAATCGACTAATGAAAGTACAAAAACAAAGTCGCTAATTGTCTTACTAATGCGGCCGACGATAAAACAACCACTTAGAACATTTAGAGCTCTCCCTTTTTGCGCGCTTCATCGGCCCTTCCCTTGATCAAATCCTCTGTCGAAAATTTGTGCAACCGAGAAAATGCCTGACCTCGGAGTTAGTATTTCCCCTCGGCAAGTCGCCTACGTGAAGAGGCCGAGATTTCAATTGCAGGCAGTAAAACTTGGCTGGCCTCTAACTTATAACCACTGCTGGTCGTTGAAATACTGGTCTAAAAGCAGTATTACAACAAAGGAGGAGAATGTAAGTTAAACCATCCATTTCTGGTTGTAACTTCACACATTTACCAGGCGGTTGATAGATGAAGAGGGCATCGCCTATGTGGGTTCCGCAAGTAGTTCCATGGCTTAAAATCTTTAGCTGTTTCATGTAGAATTTCTGTTCATTTCTACGGGTGGGCGGACCTGCAGAAAGCAATGCAGACGTGCCATGTCTTGACTTTTCTTGCACTTCACGGCCTAGTGAATCCTAAAATGCCAGATGTATTCAGGCTATTAGCTCTACTTTGTTGCTAGTGGTAACGGATGTCGAAGCTTTTTACACTTAATGTGCTGAAGGCGTGCCGCTGTACCTCTCTGATGGGCAAGGAGAAGGCGGTCAATGAATGGACAAATTAAATATTGGTTAAAATACAGCCGCATCATTCCTCCAATGGTGAGGCTTTGCCACCACCAATTCCTTCGGATGCGTGCGAACATCCCTGATAAATTGACGCCCTT